GTGACCTGATGACGAACTTTACCTGCTCCCTCAGGTTGGAGTCCCAGGTCAGAGTAGGGAGCTGCTCTGAATGATCCTGATGCGCAGCCAGGATGCAACCCACCTCCCGCGCGCAGCCAGTCCCCTGAGAATAGAAGACACTCCTGGTTGCGCAAGGGAGCATCATGAGGCCAGGCGCCCAGCCAGGGAAAAACTAACCCCAAACCGAACTTCCAACCCGGCGCCCCGTTATTTCCATTCTAAATTTCCATTTTAAAACGTACCGCTCACTCCCCTAACAGAAGTCAGCCCACCCCAGCCCCAGTGCGCCTCTCCATCCTGAAGTTGCCCCTAATTGCACCCCATTCTCCTCCCCACGCCACTCAAGTGCCTCCATGTCTTCTCAGCACTCTCTGCCTTCAGAATCCGCCTTCCGGGCTTTCGTTTCTGCTGGAACCAAACAGAGGCCCTTGCGCGTTACTAGGTGTTTTTCTGCACGACAACAACCCGGAGGTGCTTTCCTCCGAGCGGGGGAGGCTCCAACCCAGTCCCGAGGGGGCAGGGCGGTCCCTGCACCGGAAGTCCCGCTTCTGGGCTCCTGGGCTCCTGGGCTGCTGCCTATGGGTTGCAGGAGGAGAGAGACGCGATTGGGCCGGGCGCCACCTCTTCTCCCGCCCTCTCAGCCCGCTGCGCCCGCCCCCGGGAATGTCTGGACTCCTCCCAGGTCCTGCACTTTAAAGGCAGGGGCTGGACCACGCCCTGGCCCCAAGCAGTGGGCCCCAAGGTTCTGGGTCTCAGTCCCCAAGCAGAGCCGACCGCTGGCGCGATGGTGGCCGTCTGGCTGGTGCACGTCGGGCAGAAGCTGCTGCTCTGGGGCGCGCTCAGCGCCGTCTCCCTGGCCTGCGCCACCCTCATCCTGAGCTTCCTGCAGATGATGGCGAGCTACGCGTATAACTGGCTGCAAATGAGGCCCATCCCCACCATTCCGGGCGCCTACCCCTTCCTGGGACACTTGCTGATGCTGGAGCGAGGAGGGAAAGGTAAGGGACTGAGAGCCCAGGCCGGCCGCATCCCCGCCACGGGCTGTTGGGCCCCTTGCAGGGAACCGCCCGCTTCCCCGCCTGGAGCAGCACTGGAGCTGCAGGCTGCTGGGTGAGGGGCGACTCTACCACCCCCTGGATAATGGGTTTCCGATTGCTCCAGTTTTCATTACACATAAGTGCAGTGTTTCTAAACTCCCGTCCTTCTGCCTTTTCTCTTCTCATTTTTCCAACTCCTGGCTGCTGCTATCTGAAAACACCGCCTGTAGCCCTAGGAGGCTTGGCTCAGTGGACAGAGCTATGTATGGCCTGTGGACTGAAGGGTATTGGTTTGATTCAGGTCCAGGGCATATGCGTGGGTTGCCAGCTCCATCCCCAGTGCGGGGAGTGCAGGAGGCAGCTGATCAAAGATTCTCTCTCATCATTGATGTTTCTATCTCTCTCTCCCTCTCCCTTCCTCTCTGAAATCAATACAAATATATTTAATAAGAAAAACAACAACAAAAACACTGCCTGATTTTTCTTCTGTCTTTACTGTTAAAGTCCAAAAGCCAGACACAACTTATAACTTCCTCTCTCTCTCTCTCTCTCTCCAAAAAAAAGGGACAACAAATGCACTTGAGACCAAAGCATCTCCAGAAATCACAAGACTTCACCACAACTTTCATTCCTCCTTGGCCCTTCTAAGGAGGTTACATTACAAATATGAATTATGATATTATTCACCAAGGCCTGCCCCAAGAGTCATACAGCAAGTTTCAGAACTCTTATTTGTTAGAGTAAATTTTTTTTTAAATTGAAATCGTCTTTTGAAGAGACAGCTTTGTGTTATGTTATGATAGGGGTATAGGGGTCACTTTAAAATTAGAAAGCTTTTAAAAGTACTTGGTGTTTGGATGCCCCATGAGGGAGGGTGAGTTAGATCTTAGCACTTCATCTTCGTGGCTGTATAAGTTGAGATACCCAGAACTGAAAAGATTTGCCCCAAATGACATATTTTAAAATGAGCCCAGAACTAGAATCCAATCACCCCTCAGTTTAATTGAAGACGTTTTATAGACTGAACATCAATTCCAAAGCTTAAAGGGTTATTTCTTTTCCACTTTCTTTTCTCCAAATTAAAATAATGCTGTCATTTCAACTTCACAGAAATACATGAGGCCTCATGGGAGAGTGTTACCAAAATACAGAAAATGTTTCTGGCCGAAGAAATCCCAGTAAACTTTTAACCAACCGGACATCAATGCGACTAATGTTGCAAGTGATGCAGCAGATTTTGATATATGAAAACTACATTTTTAAACATCATCATGGCAAACACTAAAGGCAGAGCTAATCTTCCCTTCTACCCAAAGGCTTTATAATATTAAAAAATAATGGTGTAGAAATATAGACCCCTCCTCCTCAACAGGAAACGATCTACTTAAGAAATCTCATCATAGTGTTTTGGGGGAATTTTCCTAAGAATTGAAATCTCTAGTGAATAAGATCCATTTCAAAACAAACTGTGAGTTATTGGATTATTTTAAGTAATTCTCCTT